TATGCCCAGGCCAGCTAGACTATGATCCTCTTGTTTATGCATTCCCACACAGCTGGGATGACAGGCATATGCCACAAGCCTGGCTTTGTATTGGGTGAGATGGGGTCTTGAAAAGTTTTTGCCTGAGCTGGCCTCCAAATGTGATCCTATAGATCTTTGCCTCCTGAGTACCTAGGATTACAGGTGTGAGCTACCACACCTGGCTCTTTTTCAGTTTTAAGTATTGTGATATCTTCTCATTATTGGAAATGAAGATTTATCCCATTCTTCTTGCTCCCTAATATTCCCAATATAGCTATAGATCAATATTCAATATATGTATTATTATGAGCAGACACTACTACCAAGTGAATTATGTAGTATACATCTCATTTTTTCTTCTCCTATCCAAGTTTTGTTTTTCTTGGAGTAAATAAATCAATTTTGTTTCTCTTCCATGTACTTACCTATAATTCAGCCCCATTCAGCTTGTCCTGATGTATTAGGTACTCTACATATTTCATAATTTGAGGAAAATACCCTCTCATAGACCCTTCTTACTCACACTGTCTGGTCTGGTTGCTATTATACTGCAGTACCCTTTGCCTAAGTTGTAGTTTTGTTTTTGGATCTCACCTTTCTCTTTTTCTTCGTTTACTGTTTAGTAACTTCCCAACAAAGCAAAGTTTGTAGAGATGATTCTGAGGCTTTCCATGTTTAAAATGTGTTTATTCCATGCTCACGCTTAGATAATATCACTGGGTATAGAACTGTAGACTGGCGCTCACTACTCAGTCAAGCCTTGAAGGCCTTACATCTTATTATCTTCTTGCCTCCAGTGTTGCTGGTTCTGAATTTTTCTTTTCTTTCCTATTTTCCAACTGTCTTTTGCCCTACTTCATTGGAAATACATTAAAACAAGGTTCTAATTCTTCCATTAAATATTTCATTTCTATTATGCTTTTTTCAAAGAACTTTTTATTTGTTGAATTTTCCTTCTCTTATTTAGCATTATGTTCTTGTTTCATGATTGTGAAGTCTTATCTCTGAGAAGAGCAGTTAAGTTTTTAAGTAGTTAGGTTTATCCAAGTTGCCTTTCCCTATTTACTTATTTGTGTGAATTTCTGTCTTTTACTTTAGTCTCTCCTTGGATGTTGAGTATTTTTAGGTAAATCCAGTTGGCAGGTCTGATGCCATAGGTGAGGCTTGTTAACTCAGTTTTAATGCAGTGGAACTGAGGCTTTAGGTCCTTCTTGGCTGGGTCAAAATCCCCACAGAAGTTTCTTCTAATACCCTACCTGGGGTATGAAGGCCTGTATATTCTGGAACTGAGAAGGGAAAAAAATCTGGAGGTCTTATTTTCAGTATGTACTTTAATTTAATCCCTCTATTTTCAGAATGGTACCTCTTCTCTTGAATTTGTCAGAAAACAGTACTGCAAAGTCTGAACTATTTTCTCTTTCCCAAGAATAAACTTCCACTTTTCAACTGGATTCAGACTAGGCAGCTTTCTGGTTGCAGACTATTTCAAAAGGAATTGAGCAGCATCCCAGGAGATTTAACACTAATACAATGTTATTGCTTAATACATGGTTCATGCTCGAACTTCACCAATTATTCCAAAGCTGTCTCTTATAGTGAAGGTTTTTTTCCCCATTCTAGGATCACATGTTAGATTTAGTTGTCATGTTTACCAGTCTTTCTTAGGTGTTCACAACATGGATGTAATAGAGCTGATGTTTTATGAAATGTCCCCCAATTTAGGTTTTCTGGTTGTTCCTCATGATTGGATTAAGGTTATGCATTTTTGGGGAAGAATACTAAATGAATGATGTTTTACTCTCAGTGCCTCAAACAAGGAGGTACACATAATATCAGGCTTGCCCCATTTGGTGAAACTTTTGGCCACCGTGTTAAGGTGTTACCTGCCAGGATTGTTTACTAGAAAGGCCACCTTTCCCCTTTGTAAATAGCAAGTAATCTATAAGTATACGCCTTGAGACCATGTAAACAGTCTGTCACCCTAAAGAATATGAAACAGTGGTTTTACTATTTGTTGATGACTTTTCTCTGAATCAATTATTACCTTTACATTAGAAAAATGGTAATTTTCCAACTCTATTATTTCTTCTACATTTACTGGTTCATAAACAAATTTTCAAGCAGGTCATGAATTTTAGCACCAGCTCAACAACTTTCAGAATTTCTTGCCACTGCCAGTTACTAAACTTTTGAAGGGGCTCTGTGGTTTGAACTGGGTTACTTCTGGGTGTTCCTCTCTGCCAGATTAGGATTCATTATGTTCAGTTTTGCTAAAGCTGTTACCATATGTCCATCTGCTTTCCAGCTTCCCAAAAATTGTTTCTGTTTCTGCCTCCTCAATTTTCTTTGACCTTGTGGGGTTATGGCTTTTAAAATAAATCCCTTTACTGTCATATTTATTAGACTTAAGAAAGTGAACTCATGTTTAACTCACCATCGTTACTTGAACACCCCACCCATTATTCTTTCCTTGCTTTCAAACTTTATTACAGATCTGTAATTTGCTCTTTTTTGCTCAATATCATGTTTCTGAGATTTTTCCAAGTTCATACATGCAGCTCTTGTGGATTCATTTTAATGACTGATGTAATATCCCAGCATATGAACATGCTGTAATTTTATTATCAGTTTCTACTATATTCCTAAATACTGTATTATGAATTTTGGGGTGGGGGTAGTGGGTCTATTTTTCCATAAAAACATATATCCCATCTTTGCAATTCAAGTTGAAAGGAAAGTAGGATCATATTTGCAAAAGACACTTCAATTCTATAACTTAAAAAATGAACCTAATAATACTAAGCACAGAGAACTCAATAAATGTCAGTTACTTGGAAAGAACACTGAAATTGGCCTCAAGAATTCAGAAATAAGATTCCTCTCTGAATGCTAAACTGCAAGATCAACACATTATAGGTCAGAGCAGAGATATGAAAAGAGTAAAACAAAAGGATAGCTGCAGGGCCAGCAACATTTGACCATAATGTAACTGTAGTCATAGTCAAAGAAATATGTCAGTAAGAATGAGGAAACAAAAGTGGAGAAACTGGAGGTAAATGCTGGCAGTCCACAAAAACACTGCCCTTGGGAGCAGAAGCTTTAATAGGTACCTGACAACTATTTTATTTCAAATCTCAAGGCTATTTCTAGCATGGACAGAGATATTGTAGCCCATTCTCTTCAATTATTTAAATCACTATTGGTAAGACTATCTCTGTGGTAAGATAGATACAATGGGTAATGCTAAATAAGCATGATGCAATGAGTATTTATTTGACTTAATCCCCCTCATACTAATGTCATACTCACCAAGCAACCTCCTGTTTTAACCCTTGACAGTTTCATTTCTTACTCTAAATCAATATACTGGAATTTTGGCAACAAGTTCGTTTTAGTCACTGTGATATCTTTTATAGTTAAATCACTTGGACCTGGGAGCCTCCAGCCCATAGTTAAGAACAGGATCAAGTAAACAAGACCATGTGTGGTCCTATCCATCCACCTCAACCTTTCTTAAAATGCAGCAGAACCATTTCCAATGCCAATCTCTATTGGTTTCTAGAATTCCCTCCCCCCACTTTTGTAGAGCATGCATATTTCAAATGAAGAAGAGAGTTGTAATATGGTAGCTTTTCTACCCACTGCCTATAAACCCATGTATTTTGTGCATACTTGGTAATAAATGTAACTTTTTTTTTAACTGTGATTTTGAATTTAGGGCCTTGCACTTGCTAGGCATTTGAGTCACACCACCAGTACTTTTGCTTTTAGTGTCTTTTTTTTTTGGTGGCACTAGGATTTGAACTCAGGGCCTCACACTTGTTAGGCAGGCACTCTACCATTTGAGCCACTCCACCAGCCATTTTTGTGTGTGTGTTGGGTATTTTTGAGATAGGGTCTTGTGAAATATTTGTCCAGTCTGGCTTTAAACCGTGATCCTCCTTATCTCTACCTCCTGAGTTGCTAGGATTACAGGCATGAGCCTCTGGTGCCTGGTGCTTGTGGTGTTTTTTGAGATAGGATCCCAAGCTTTTGCCTGTGCCAGTCTCAGACTGAGATTCTCCTATCTCCACCTCCCAAGTACCTGAGATTACAGGTGTGAGCCACAATGGTTGACGATATAACTACTTTTTCAAAGAAAGTTTTATTATGTTTCCAATTATTTTGGTGGCTTGAAAGGAAGAGCAATTATTTCTGAGCATTGGCAACCAAGTGGCTTCTAATGAAGTGAGTCAGGACTAGGAAAAGTCAACCTCACAAGTTTCATGAGATATGAATTCACCTTGCACTGCACTGATGAGTAAGTGCTGACTATACTAACAACCTGCAGTTAAACATGAATTTCTATGAAAATACTATAGGTAATGTTCAACTTGGGATATGTTCAGTTTTATAAGATTACTTTATAATTGGTGGATGGAAATTCAAACTTATTTCTCAAGTCTGTAAAGCCAATCTAATAATAATAAATCAGGCTCTCTATTAGTTATGACATAAAAATGAGTAAGTCATAATTCCTGTATCATCTCATTTACAATGTAGTCAGAAAAATGGATTTCTGAAAAATAAATTTGTAAATTTTTTTTGGTGGTATTGGGGCCTTATGCTTGTTAGGCAGGTGCTCTACCTCTTGAGCCACTCTACCAGCCAAGGTGGACAAATGGAACAAATAACTTTAATACTGAACTCCAAGGGTTATACTGATGTCCAAGGAGAGGCAGTTACATTAAGAAAGGAATGATTAATTCTATAAGTTAAGCAATTAAGGAGAAAAAGTTAAGGAAAACATCCAAGGATTTTAATGGGCTTTAAAAGGAATTAAACATAAGCAGAGTATGCCTGCAAGTTGATGGTAAAGGGAGAAGACATTAATTTCAGGGAAGTGTTGGGTAGGCAGAACAAGAAGAAGGAGGCAAAGTGATAAAACTGGACTAGGCACAAATCAGGAAGCCTGATTTGTATTGCCCAGGAATTAAAACTTTTATTAGCCAGAGTTTCCTAAGAACTGACTAGAAATTGATACCTTCACCCTTCAAGGTATCCAGGAGAGAAACCGTTGGGTCACATGATAAGTGTGTATTAGAGTTTATAACAAACTGCCAGATTTCAAACACTGTTGTTTCATTTTCACTCCAACCAGCACCTTAGAAATGTTGCTCCAGTTATGGCTGTTGTCAGTCTTTCAAATGTTAACTATTTCAGTGGGCATGTAGTGGTACCTCATTGTGGTCCCTGAGGACTAGATATTGGGAATCTTTTCCAATGTGTGGTAGCCATTCTTGTAAAGTAGTTGTTCAAGATTTTTTCCATTTTTATTATCTCTGTATTTTTTATTATTATCACTGAGTTGAGGTGTTCTTTATAAAGTAGACCCTTGATATCTTTGGGTATATGGTTCCAAAGAGACTGCTGCAGAGGAAAAAACCACAAATGCTCAGTATAGATAGAGTTCTGTGTGGCACTGATTTCATTTTCCCCATAATGCAACATCTACTAAAGAAATTCCTCCTTTCAACAATCCTCAAAATCTCACTTTATCACTTGAATTGAGCACATCCACTTTTACTTTGCCTTTTGGGTACCATTTCTTTTTGGGAGGCATTTCCATGCAACCAAAGGCAAGGAAAGATTCAGCAGCTCACACAATTTAAACACAACTGATGAGAACAAAGGACTGACTGAGTGCTTCTTTGCATCCACTGAGCTGTGTAATGCATGCACAGGAATCTATTTGGATTTAAAAAAATTATTACTATTTTACCATGCTTGGTCAAACTGCAAGCAATAAATCTGCAAATAAGGTGGACTAACTGTATAAACTGGATACAGTTCCTTTGTTGAGTATATGCACTGTGAATATTTTGTTCCATTCTGTTGCTTTCCTAATGTTCTCTTTTAATGAGTATTAGTTCTTTAAGTCTAATTTATCAATATTTTTTCCTTGTATAAATTTCTTTTTAAATTCTCTCTTCTGTCTATTCCAAAGAGTAAAGATACTCCATTATGTTTTCTTCTAGAGGCATTATAGTTTATGTTATTATGTTATTATGTCTATAATTTACCTTGAAATAATATTTGTGCATGATGTGAGGTAGGGATCAAGATTATTTTTTCCATATAAATTCTTTTAGTACCATTTGTTTAAAAAAGTTTCTGTTTTTAATCGTCTTATTTTGATGCTGTCTTATTTTGGGCTTCCTATTCTTTTCTGTTGTTTATATTTATATATCCTTATGCCAGGATCACATTGTCCTGACTACTGTAGTTTTCAAGTAAGTCTTAAGTTGGGCAGTGTTAGTTCTCTAACTCTCATTTCCTTTTATTTGTTTACTTTCAGCTATTCTGGGTCTTCTACATTTCTCTATCTATTTTTGAATCGGCAGGTTGACGTCTACCAAAAAAGTCTGATGAGGTTTTAATTGGATTGTATCTGATTGAATCTATGTATCACTTCACAAAGTATGGTCTCTGAACCCAGAAATATTTTATGAATGCAAGTTTTCAGATCCTTTCCAGACCTAATGGGTCAAAAATGGTGAGGTTGGAGCATAGATGTGTTTTAAGCATTCCATGTGACTATGATGCATGACAAAGTGTAAGAATTATTCCTTTATATCAATTTGGGGATAATGAATATCTTAGCAATACCCCATATCCATATTCCAATCCATGAACAGATGAACAGATACTTCTCCCCATAATTTAGGTCTCCTTTAATTTCTCTCACCAACGTTCTGTTTTCTTTTTTTCTTTTCGACAGTGTCTTACTATTTAGCCCAGGCTAGCCTTAAATTCACAATCTTTTTGTCTCTGCCTCCTGAGTGCTGGTATTACAAGTATGTGCCACCATGCCTCGGTAACATTTTATAGTTTTAAGTGTACCAGTCTTGCATATATTGAATTTATTCCAAAGTATTGTATGTTTTCTGATGCTGTTATAAATGGCATTCTAACAGCTCCTGGCTATCCATTAGCTACAGTATATAGGTAATATGGACATAAGTTTATTTGGGGTTAGAGATTTGAAAAAGAGCAGAGATCTCAAATGATTAGGGTATTAAAAAGGTCTGTAAGAATAGGAGGTTGTTTCTAGGAGTGGATAGAGGCATTAAGAATAGACAATTGCTAAGATCACAGACAGAGACAATTAGATTTGTTGCTCCTACAGTCTTACCATACATTTCCTACATTCTTGACAAAAAGATCAAACATGACTAGCTTCTGGATCAGACTATCTTTGTTGTGATACTTCCAGAAGAAATAGAGAAGACAGAGAGGAACATGTTGAACTGTACCAAGAGTGTAAGATTAGCAAATCTAGGCTGTGGCAAACTCTATAGGTCAAATGGGCTGGGTTTTTCAACAAATACAGTTGTAAGGAAACAAAAGGGATAGAAAAGGAATTTATATATTGAAAGAAATTAAAACAAATATGAGGTTTTTACACAATATGTAAGTCTAAATTGTAGGGTACAATTGTGCAGTGAAACTATTTAAAATGTGGAGAAATGACCACTATGAAAGGTTCAGGGTTGCATCAGGCATGGTGGCACACACTACTGGGAGGTAGGGGTAGGAGGATCACAGTCTGAGGCCTGACTAGGCAAAAGTGAGATCCTATCAAAAACAATCTAAAGCAAAAAAAGGCTGGGTAGAATGCTTGCTTAGTTCAATCTCTAGTACCACCAGAAAAAGTAAAAAGTTCAAAGAGGAAGAACAACAACAAAAAGTTCAGAGTTGCTTTTGTGTGGAGAGAGGATGTTCTATAGCACTGGAGAAGTTCTATTCCTTGCTCTTGGTGAATTTGCCTTATAATAATTCATTAAATGATTAATTTCACTCTTGTGGGCATTCATGTACATTTATGTTACATTAAAAAGCTTTTTTTTTTTTTTTTAGTATGATGTATCTAGAATCCGGGATTGCAGAGTTTAAAAGTGATAAGAGTGGAACTGTATCTGGTGATGGTAAAAACATGTGGCTATCAATGTGGTTGTTCACTTGAGGCAGGGATACCTGTGTGGGTGAAGAACTGAGAGCTAAGACTTGGGAAGGCACTGAAGGGAGAAGACTGTAAGCCAGGTTCTAGTTTCTACCATCAGTGTAGGAGAGTGGTCTGAATATTGGCAAAGATAAAAATGATGACCAGGTACAGATAAATATACTTAGATTACTAAGGTTATGTAGTCCTGTAGGCCCACAAAATGGAAGAATATTTTGGAAGTGGCTACAGGAAGCACAGAGTACTTGAGACCACTTTCTTTCTGTGAGGTATGGGAAAGGGAACACAATCACTTCAAAGAAAGTAGAGACTCACTATCTTTCAGGTTCAGGGAGGTTTCAGTTGAGGCTATGTAGCAGACAACATTTCTAGGGAAATATTAATGGTGAATGGTAATTTGTTAACAAAGAAATAGAGATTCCTGAAACATAATGGAGGGTCAGGAAAAAAGGAAAGTGTGTGTGTGCTGGGGATGGTGCAGAGGAAGGCAAAGAACTTTGTGATTAATAGTACATTAGAAAGGAAGCAACATACGAGGGCTCCTTTGGGATAATCAAAAGTAATAATGAGATCTGGTATGGTGGCATACATCTGTCATTCCAGCTACTCTGGAGGCAGAAGCAGGAACAGTACACATTCCAGGCCAACCCTGGTAAAATTTAGGCAGAAGTTAAGAGATTCTATCTCAAAAATAAAATATAAAACAAAAGGGCTCAAGGTGTGGCTCAAGCAGTACAGCATTTGCCTATCGTGCATGAGGCCCTGGGCTCAATCCCCAGAACAGGGAAAAAATGATGATGATAATAATGAGTGTCATGGATGGAATAACTTAGTTTCATTCTTCTGACTAGTGCCAGTTTGATGTGCTGGAATTATCTAAAATTGTCAGGGATGGTGCCTGGGGGCTGATTATTGTAATTGCCTCCATCTCATCACTTAGGATACCAGTAGTTCTACAAAGACGTTTTTCAGAGTTCTGGGATATGGGAAAGGACTTTTCTGAGAACATAGTTCTTATTATGGCCAAGAAAAGGGGTAATCAGAAAGATTCTTCTATCCATTTGACTGCTGTAAACTCCTGGGGAACTTGAATCTTGGATCATATCAACTTTTTCCAAAAATGCTTTTTTTCCTTTTTTTTTTTTGGTGGTACTGGGGTTTGAACTCAGGGTCTCTGCCACCTGAGCCGCACCTCTAGCCCTTTTTGCTTTAGTTATTGTTCAGGTAGGGTCTGGCAATTTTTTGCCCAGGCAGGCCTTGGAGCACCATCCTCTTACTTTTTTGCTGTGATAACAGGCACACCACTGTACCGGGTCCTGAAAAAGCTTTTATTCTAACAGTGTGGTGGTTCGCACCTGTAATCCCAGCTACTTGGGAGGCAGAGATTAGGAAGATTATGGTTTGAGGCCAACCCAGGCAAAAAGTTAGTGAGACCCCATCTCAACCAATAAAAGCTGGTGTGTTGGTGCACTCCTGTCATTCCAGGTACGCAGAAAACTTAAATAGGAGGATTGTGGTCGAGGCCAGCCTGGGCATAAATTTCAGACCCCATTAACAAAATACCTAAAAGCGAAAAGGGTTGGAGGCATGGATCAGTGGCAGAGTGCCTTACTAGCAAGTGTGAGGCCCTGAGTTCAAATCCCAGTATAAAACAAAAGAAAATGACTTTTATTCCAGTTTTTTTATGGTGAAGTACTGAGAAAAAGAGGCTGAGGTAGAAGCAACATACAAAGTTGGAAATGGACCAAAAGATGTACTCACTGACAGGGTCAGAATAAAAGGAATGGAGCAAATAAAGAAAGATATGCCAATTAATGACTCATCACTCATCACAAATTGGGGCTGAGTGCTAGAGCCCATTTATTTCGTCATCAGGGCTTATAGTTGTGAGGGAATAGGGAAGAGAAGTCCTAGACCACAGAAGAAGGGGAATATCTCCAGGTATAAAGTACACAAGGTGGATAGTAATGAGAGACTTACATGTTATGAAATACATTTATTTCTTATAAAATAACTTTAGAACTCTGTATGCAATTGCTAAAAGGTGGATTTTTGTTTTGTTTTTGCTTGTTTGTCATCCTCCCACTCCCATACTAGGGATTGAATCAGGGCCTTTTGCATGCTAGGCAAACACTACCAAAAAGTTAATATAATATCCCCACCCTTTTTAAAAATTTTTGAACCAGAGTCTCACTCAGTTGCCTGGGCTAGCCTCAAACTTGTAATTCTCCCTCCTCAGAATTTTGAGCAGCTGGAATTATAGGTGTATGCCAACATGCTTGATTTAAAAAGTGTTTTTATATTGTTCTAAATTTGTTATTTCCTTACAAAGTTTACAAGAATTTTGTTATATTACATAAAGTGTGCATTTATTTTATCATAAAATATTTTATAAATAATATGTAGAGTTAATTGATACATTACTTTATTAAAAAACATTTAAATAATTTTCTGTGGTATAAGATTAACACTTTGGGACAATGCATTTTTTTCTAAGGCTTTCTGTATCCTTGGGAGTAGATTCTCAAGTGAGAAATACACCATTATAAATACATGCTGGCTGAATATTTCCCCTGTATATTCTTACCTCCATAGTAGGTGGAATCTTTCTTGTTTTTCTAATCCAAGCTAGGAAAAAAAAAAAAAATTATTTAAATGTCAGTTCTTTGTAATTTATACAAACTATTTACTCATGCCTAAAAGATATTTTTAGGCACCTAGATTTTTTAAATATTGGAGATATAATAGAGAATCAAACAGATGAAGTCCCCCTTCTACTGTAGCACTAATACTAGAGAAAGGGATACAGAAAATAAACATACAAGCAAGACTGAGGGCAGAGTTTCCTATCCTTAAAGTCATAGTTCATAATCATCTGAATTCAACTTAGTGTATTTATGGCAAACAGGCCAAATCACAATATGGTAAACTTCAAGGCAGTAACAAAATTATGATTCTGGAAATTTGAATGAGTAATTGCTCCATCTATCAAGGAGGGACATAGAAAAGCTTTTGTTACAGAGCTTTCTCTTCAGATCTGCTCCAGCAAGCAACTGCCTCCTAGCTGTTCATTAGGCCCTAGCTCTAACACTTGAGAGACAAGCTGCTGAGGTAGAGAGCCGCACATCTGCAAAATGCCTATTAGGTACTATGCTACCTGCTTTATGGCAAAGGGAAAAGAGTGGGACAGCTGCCTTGGGGGAATGTTTTACAGTCAGATTTGAACTCTTATTACTTATTGGCTGTGTCACCTGGGGCCAGTTACTTAATTTTCTAATCATCAGATTTGCCATCTGTAAAATGGAAACTGTAATAGTATCTACACTATGGGGTTGTTATGAAAGTAAATTTGGAACTCTGTTCATTCAGCTGCCATCTTGTCTTCAGATCAGTTTTATCACTCTATTTTTATCATCCAAGAAGTAGCACCAGGACCTATCTTCACACACACACAAAAAACCCCCAGCTCTAAATGGTTGTGGGTATGGAAACAGAATGGTCAATTATGGGCTTGGGATTAATTATTTCTTCCTGCTCTGTTCTCTTACACTGATCCCATACATCAATCTCCAATATAGTTCCAATGTTCTGCCTTCATACTCTGTTTCTGAAATTCTGTCTCTGAAATCTCTCTGTATTCTCTTTCTCATTGTCTTTCACTCCTATTTGGCCCATTGCCAGCCAAAACTTGACCAGATCTTATATCCTTTATTAGATTGGAAGGCTGTCAAGGTCAGAATGCACCAATGGGAGGTTTACTTTTCTGCTACCCAAATGCCTCAAAAGAGTACATACTTAATATTTGTTGACAAATATGTTCACTAGAAAAAGATTTACTGTAATAGGATTTGACCTATATCAGTAAAATTGCTCTATGCAGTCAAGGAAATAAGTGATTATGGACTTTTTCAGTTATTTCTTTGTGGTCAAAATAAGTTATTTAAAATAAGTTACATATCAGCCAGTGCCAGTGGCTCATGCCTCTAATCCTAGTTACTCAGGAGGCAGAGATCAGGGGATCAAGGTTTAAAGCCAGTCCAGGAAAATAGTTTGAGAGACGCTATTTCGAAAATACCCAACACAAAAAAGGGCTGGTGGAGTGGCTCAAGCAGTAGAGCTCCTGCCTAGCAGTGTGAGACCCTGAGTTCAAACCTCAGTATGACAGGCCAAAAAAAGTTACTTACTTATTTGTGGATTGTTTTTTCCTCAGAAAGAGGTTTTTGGTTTTTTAAAATAATTCAATGAGTCATATACTTCTAAAAAGTTTTAAACAATAAATGCTTATTTTTAGTTATATTGGAAAGTTAATTCAGAATAATTAACTGCTAGGACAGGATTTAGCAAACCAAATTCAGTCCCCTGCTTATTTTCATGTTTTTAAATGGCTGAAAAAAGTTCTAAAAAGAACACTGTTTCATGACACATAAAAATTAAATAGAATTCAGATTTTCAGCATCTATAGATAAGATTTTATTAAAACACAGCCACACTTGTATCTGCATGTACGACAAGAGTAGGGTTGAGTAGCTGTATTAGATGAAGTAATCTGTAAGCCCTAAAATACATACTATCTGGGTCCTTTAAAGAAACAGACTGCCAATACCTTTGCTAGGGCTACCATTGAGTGTAATTCTGGGAAGTGTGGCTCATGTGACAGAGTACATGCTTTGTAATCATGAAGCCCTGAGCATGAACCCCAGTCCCACCAAAAGAAAAGTATAATCCCTTTAGCAATGACTATATATCTTGATGTGAAACACTGCTATATTGTCTAAAATAAATATTGTTATTAGTTATTATACTTTTTTACTAATAAATTACTCTATATTATAGAATCAATAGAAATATACCAATGAATATAACATGATGAAAAAGTATAACAGCATAATACATATTTATTATGTCATCAAGAAAAAACAACTCAAAATTATAATTTTCTCTTATTGATAAGTCTACAAAACAGCATTTTCAGTTTTCTTGTGAGGTTGGAAAAAGAAAGCTGCTTTAATTGAATTCAAATCATTAAAAAATTCTAAGGTAGGTAAAGAGGCTGGGGAAACTCTGATATTTGTTTTCTAAAGTTTACTGGTTTTAACTTTATAATATTCATTTAAAAATGTGGGAATGTTGCTTCATTTTAAATGATCTTTGTTTTACATAGATTTTAAAAATACAACTGCTGAAATAAGTTTGTATATTTATGATCCTACAACAACCAGACACTTGAACTAACTTGAGGTGATGGTTGATAGCATTACTCTTTGTTATATATCCAGTAAAGGTTACAAGCAACATAGGAAATGACCTGGTAAAAGCTGGCAAAGGTTAGGAGGAAGAAGGATAGAAAAAGGCACTCATATTAAATCATTACTTTTTGTTTTGTATTGTGGTTGTGGGGTTTGAACTCAGAGCCTTACAAGGCACTCTACCACTTCGTCATGCCCCCAGTCCAAATCATTACCTTTTTTAAACATCAAAAAAATCTGAATCAGAACATCTATCCAATAATAAATTATATAATGATTTTGTGACTGCTAATTATATCTGTAAGGTGGATTTTATATCAGTCTTCATTATAATGTAACCATTGTTTGAAGAGAATTACCAAGATAACTGGACAGTTTATGCCTTGAGATCCTAACAGCGTTTCATCAATACTCATTTGCATTCTCATCAGTATGCATGAGATTTTCATTGAACTTTAGTACTCCTATTGGAATATAACAAACTATAATGAGTGTAAAAGTGAGAATGCAAATTAAGACTCCCATTAATCACTAAGAGAGACTAGAAAAAGCAGACAGGAAAGTACTTTATACATTCTTTAAATTTCCATATCCCACTAAAAATGTCCAATATACTTTTAGAAGCATTGACAACAAGTGAGATACCCTATCACCAGATTCAGTAGGAGACCAGAACCAAAATTATGGAAATTTATGAACAGTGTATATTCAAAAGCTATCACATTAAAAAAATAGGTGTTTACTTCAGAGACTATAATAAAGTCTCATCTTTTAAAAATTATCTTTATCAATTCTGATTGTTGATACTTCATAAAGAATGATAATATCTTAGGGCACAAAACAAGTTGCAACAAATATAAGAAAATTGAAATAACCCCCCTGCATACTATCTGATCACAATGTAATAAAACTAGAACTCAGGAACAAAAGAAGCAGTGGATTATATGTAAACAACTGGAGGCTGAACAACACCTTGCTCAATGTTCAGTGGGTTATAGTTCCTAGAATTTAATGAAAATGAAAACACAGCCTCTCAGAACCTGTGGGATAAAGCAAAGGCTGTCCTAAGAGGAAAGTCTATAGCCATGAGTGCATATTTAAAAAAAAAACACAGAATGATCTCAAATAAGTGACCTAATGCTACATTTCAAACCCCTAGAAAAACAAGAACAAGCTAAATCCAAAACAAGCAGAAGGAGAGAAAAAATAAAAATAAGGGTTGAAATCAAAGAAATAGAGACTAAAACCATACAAAGAATCAAAGAAACAAAGATCTGGTTCTTTGAAAAAATAAACAAGATTTACAAACCCCTGGCAAATCTGACTAAAAGGAGGAGGGAAAAGACCCAACTAATAAAATCTGAAATGAAAAAGGGGCGATAACAACAAACACCAAGGAAATCCAGGGAATCATCAGGGACTACTTTGAAAATCTTTAATCAAATTAATTGGAAAATCTAGAAGAAATGGACAAATTTCTAAATACATATGACCATCCAAAACTGAACCAAGAGGATATTAATTACCGAAACAGATCTAGAACATGCAATGAAATTGAAGCAGCAATAAAGAGTCTCCCAAAAAAGAAAAGCCCAGCACCTGACAGATTCTCTGCTGAACTCCACCAGACCTTTAAAGAAGAATTAATACCAACACTCCTTAAACTTTTCTACAAAATAGAAAGGGAAGAAACATTGCCTAACTCATTTTATTAAGCCAATATTGCACTCATCCCCAAACTGGACAAGGACACATCCAATTTCCTTAATGAACATTGATGCAAAAATCCTCCATAAAATAATGGCAAACCAAAGCGAACAATGTGTCAGAAAGATCATATACAATGACCAAGTCAATTTCATTCCAGGGATTCAGGGATGGTTCAACATATGCAAATCATGAAATGTAATACAGCCTATTAGCAGAAGCAAAGACAAAAACCACTTGATCATCAACAGAAGAAGAAAAAGCCTTTGATAAAATTCAATACTACTTCATGATAAAAGCTCTGATGAAACTAAGAATAGAAGGAATGTACCTCAACATAATAAAGGCTGTATATGACAAACTTACAGCCACCATCATACTTAATAGGAAAAATTGAAACTATTTCCCCTAAAGTCAGGAATGAGACAGGGTGCCCAATCTCTCCATAGCTAGAGCAATAAGGCAGCAAGCAGAAATAAAAAGAACATAAGTAGGTAAAGAAGTCAAACTATCCCTATCTGCAGATGACATGATCTTATATCTGAGACCTGAAAAACTCTACCAAAAAACTCCTAGACATCATAAACAGCTTTAGCAAAGGAGCAGGATACAAACTCAACTTACAAAAATCAGTAGCCATTCCACATAGCGACAGTGAACTGACTGAGAAAGAAT